TTTTTTTTCGGTGCCCCACCCTGTCAGATGAGAGCGGTCCGTGCTGGCTTGCATGCACTCTGCATACACCACATTTTTTGACGCGTGTGGAGTGCACTCCAGCCAAGAAGCGCGTAGGCCGCCCAGGCCGAGTCCAGAGAATCGCGCACCGCTGTGCGGAGCCTGACAGCTGCACTTGCTGTCGACGACATCGCACTGATGAGGAGAGATGCAGACTAGGTGTGCTCTGCCGAGACAGATTCACGCCGAGGGCCCCAGCGGATGCTACTTTCACTGTTGGCGTGCAGCCATGTCCGTGGAGGTTGCCGGCGGCATGAGCACCGTAGCTGAGCCCAGTTCGTGCCCTTGCCGCTGGGTAGATTCGTTGCAAACCGTCTTGACAGGCCCCTTGCCGGCGCTTTTGGAAAGCATATCAGACCGAGTCGCTATCTGCGAGTCAAGCAAGTGATGGCAGCAAACATCGTGACCAAGCGCGGCGTGCGCGTGCTCGTCAGTGGAGCCGGCATGGCGGGGCCAACTCTGACATGGTGCCTCGTTCGTTTCGGAGCGCGCGTGACGGTGGTGCAGCGATCGCCGCAGCTGCTGTCCCAAGGCCAGAACATCGACCTGCGCGGCACTGCGCTCAACATTGTGCATCGCATGGGCATACTCGAAACCATGTGCCGCTGCACCAACACGGAGAAAGGCACCGCACTCGTCGACCAAAACAACCGCGGCTTTGCCACGTTCCACATCGGCGAGTCTGCAAGCGTCCTGACCGCCAAGTACGAGATCCTTCGAAGCGACCTGTCCAACATCCTTTACCAAGCTGTGGTACAGCAGCCGGGTGTAGACTTTCGTTTCGGCACGACGATCGAGCGTGTGGTGGAGAAGGGCGATTTTGCGGTGCGGGTCAAACTAAGCAGTGGCGAGGAGGAGGAGGAGTATGACGTGCTGGTGTTGGCGGATGGGCAGTGGTCCACACTGCGAAAACAGGTGTTTGGCACTGATGACCTCGAGGCGGTGGACAAGAATTGCTGCTTCGTCTACTGTACCGTTCCGCGCACCGACGAGGACGACGACTATGCGCGCGCGAATACATGGGGCCGCCCGCACGCATGATCGTCACGCGGGCCGACAACTACGGTACCACGATAGCCCTGCTCAGCATCCGCCCCGGCAGCGCTGCACAGAATCAGCAGTGGGAAGCAGCGAGTTGGAGCCGCGAAAGGAGCGTGCAGGTCGCGCTGATCCAATCTGCATTCAGCGATGTCGGATGGAAGGTTCCGCGTCTGCTGCGTGGCATCGATGCTGCCGACGATCTCTACTTTCAGACGACCCAACAGATTCGCATGGCCAAATGGCACCGCAACCGCATCGTGTGTTTGGGCGATACCACCTACGCGCCCACGCCGTTTACGGGCTTGGGCACCTCGCTCGCCATCGACGGCGCCTACCTCCTCGCCGGCCACCTCTCCCAGCTCGAGCCAGGCCAACATCCCGCACTGGCGTTCGACAGGTACGACCAGCAATTTCGTCCGTTTGTCGTGCACCATGCCGGCATTCCTGAGGTCCACCA